CATCCATTAATGCCTTCCTGCATAACAATATCCCATCTCATATCTGCCTGTTCTCCTAGAGTTTAACATATTGGCATCTTGAACGACTTAACTCCCAGACAGAAAAATAAGGTGGCAGGAGGAGAAAGGTAGTGAAATGGGGGGCAAACACACAACCTCTGGCATGGGGTGGGGTGGGGAATGGGGGAGCCTGCTATGGGGGAAGGAGTGAATAGAGTGTACATAACCCCTGGTTGAGGGAAGAATTGGGGGATGCTGGTGGGGGCTCTGTGTGCCCCCCCTCCCTTTAAGTCATGGTGGGGGGAGATGGGAAAGGGGAGCAGACACGACCCTGCTGTGTGTGTGTGGACGGGGGTAGGAGATAAAACCCCTGCCATGGTGGAAGGGACGTGAGGAATCCTGGTGAAGGGGACCTGGAGGCCGGGGGATCAGAGAACACATAGAGCCCTTGCTGTGGGGGGAATGAGGGCATGGGGGAAGTAGGGGTGGTATGCACACAGTGCCATTAGTATGGGATGGAGAATGGGCGGGGGCGCACAGAACCCTGGGCGGGGGATGGCTGGGGAGAGTTGCAGGGAGTCCCCGAAATACAGGGGGATGGGAGCATGGCACACAGAGCTTGTGAGAGGGAATGGAGTTATTCAAGGAGCCCCTGGTGTGAATAACAAGCATGGCCTACGCAAGCCACAAAGTGAGTGATGACCTAGTTTTTTAACAGTCACGTTCCTGAAGACTTCAGAAGCCCTTCCACAGATAGTGACGGATGGCTCACCTTAACCATTACTCCTCTGTCTACGAGCTACTGCAGATAGCACTTTCTCCCCAATAAGCTAAAAATAGATAACATTTACAACCAAGCTCTTTGGCGGTGCTGCAATCCGCCAAATGCCCCGACGAGGCACTGATAAGTGAAAGAGATTGAATATGAAGATTGAAAAGAGGTTAATTCAAACAGTTTTCTTGCCTCAAATGTCAGATGCCAAGAGACTTTCATTGCTTGCTATTTCAGCATGAAAAATGCAGAGTGGCAGCTTTTTGTTGCTGTAAATTAGAGGGCCTGGCACTTGTTTTTTGTAGCATGCTCCATGCTGCAGGGCTATTTAAAAGCTGAGGTGCTGGCTGTGGTAACTTGAGGACCTGTGACAAAAAAGAAAGCTGTGACTGAGTTTGCTGTCCTCAACTGGTCCATCCATCAGTGGTAAAAGGCATGGATTCCTTTTCGTTATGGGGCTGATCCTCAAGGTGTTCACTCTCTCCGCTCTCTAATTATGTTAGTGCAACAGCAAAATCTATTTAAAATATGTTAGCTGAAGAAGAGTACCTGCTGGGAGCTAACTCAGCACCGTGTCAGTCAATGCCCCACCAGTTTATATTAATTGAGCTCTCATTGAAAGACAGGCAGTCAGCAGAGGAGGCCAATTAACTGAATGGAGATAAAGCTGAGGGGCTAATTGGGTAGCATTATCCCTAGCAGCCAAGACCCTATAAGCAAACAAGAAGGAAGGGCTGGAGGAGAGTAGGGAGCCTGAAGGAAGGCAGAAGTAGGTAGGTCTGATGCTGATACTACCCTGCCCTTCTCTAGAAGCATGTGGGGAAGCTGGTTTGTGTTTGGAAATATCATTGTAATATAAGAGGGACTCCTTCTCATTATGTATGTATGTATTTCAACTGGATCTGTAAGCATTACTACAGTACAAACAATAAATAGTAATTATTAGAGCTGGTCAGAATTTTTTGAAATCCCAATTGAAATTTTTTTGTAGCATTGTCAAAAGTTTTCAAAAAGTCATAATTCTGACAAAAGAAAAATTTTCAAACTGCTTCTTGAAATTATAATGTGCAGTTGACAGCTGTTCCAGAAATGGCTCTTTCCCTTCTACAGGCTATAGAATACTAGGTCTGCCAAATGGGTAATCACCAAAAAGTCTGTAGGTCCTAGGAAAAAGTACCAGATTATGTAAAAGAGAAACTGTAATTGCTCTTGTCTCTGGGATCTCATCCACGATTTTCCACTAGCTTTAGATGCAAGATGTGGTTTATATCGCTGACATATATTTTTCTTGGCCTGTGACGGTTAAAATATTTATCTGTAATTGATGCTTGTTGGGTGTTGGTACTCATAATTATTTTTGGTTGGTTTGATGCTTGATAAATTAGCAGTTTTTGATAGTGGAGGTCACCTTGGTAGTTAAAGACCGGATAAGGCAGACTGGTGAAGCATTTAATCTGTACTAAACTGAAAAAGTGATATGGTGATAAACCAGCTGGAGTCGATCAGCAGGATTTAAATTTGAGACAGTGAGATTTGAAGGGCTTCATAGTAGTTCATGCTCTGTGGTTCCATGTTAGATCTGGTGTCACCTCCCTACTGGTCTGGATTCAGTATACTCACTGCTGCAGCACAGGATCAGTTCTTGGTCAGGGAAGCTATGAATCAAATTACCAACTCTGCTAATCCTGACACTCAGGAAATTTCAGCTAGAGATTTTCTTATCTTAGGCCCTGATCGAACTCTCAGCAAAGTCAACAGGAATCTTTCCATTAGCTTCATTGGGGCAGGTCTACGCTGCACAGTTGTACTGTTAAGTTTTTAACAGGTGCTCCTGGTATGCCTATACTCGTGGACTTTAGTGATGTGTATTTAGTAACTTTCTCAAGTCAGACAGACACAGAGGAGCATTAATTAGACCCTAGACTGACAAGTTGATGGCACAAGTAACCAAATTCAGGAATATACATTCCTGGCCCTTCAAAAGCTTTTGCTACTACATGATGAATAATTCCATTGAGTAAGACTGAGTTTCTTTTAAAACAAACAAACAAATAAATAAATAATCCATTCCCATTCTGAAGGATAAAAGGAATATAATAGATTCACATTTGTATTCTTGAAGGTCCACTCACAGTTTTTGTATTGATACAACTATGTTAGTTAAGGTGTGATTTTTTTTTTTCAAACTGGTAGGGCTTATGCCGGTGTGCGCCCTATCGTGAACAGAATTGTACCATGATAAGGATGCCTTCTACCAGTATAGCTTATTCTATACTGCTTCGACTATACCAGTATGCAGATAAGGTCAAAGCACTTTGTCACTTATTGAAGAGTGAATTTGTTTCTGCCACATGCAGCTATTTAAACAATGGATTTTTCTTTTAAAATGCTATTTAACAGGTCCATATACGATGATCCTGTCTCTGACTGAAGCCAGGTCTGTCTCTCCAGAGTAGTGCCTACAGCTATTATTTAAAAAAAAAAAAAAAAAAAGGCATGTGCATCCATAAGTTGACATTTGCTTTGACTCTTCAAACAGGGGGTTTTATAAAGGTATAAAACGGTGAGAAATCCAGTGTGCAGAATCCATAAGTTGAATCAAGCAGAAAAGTGTCCAGTAAATGCCCAAAAAACTGTAGACTGCAAAATGCTGCAAAACCAAAAACTGTGCATAGAAGTACTCTGCAGTGATCAGTTTTATTTGCAAATATTTATTGTTACCACAAAGTGGTAGCTGAGACACTGAAGTTATTGTGGAAACAAGGACTTCTTATGTGAGCGAGACTTTGCAACTTCAATTATGATCAGAATGGCTGGAAGGGTTTTGGTTCGTTGGCTATTTTTCTTCAAAGGATCATAGAAGTTAGAGATAGAAAAGACACCTAGACTGAGTCCATCTTTGTTCAAGAGCATGTTGTTGTCCCCTGGTAAAGGTTGTACTAGATATAAACTGAAACTATGCTTGAAGTTCATATAACAGGAAATGGAAATGACCCCTGACATTACGAGGATATTAGAGTTTCCAGGGACATAGGCCTGTGTGGTTTATTATTTCCAGAAGACTATTTGAAACACTAAAAACTATATATTGCATTGTACACAGCACTGAGGTTAGGTTTACTAACGTGTGTGTGTGTGTGTGTGTCTTAGTTAGAAAGGTTAATACAATGAGGCAGTATGGTTCATAGGGACTGTGGGGCAGGGATGGGAGACCTGAGTTCTAGTCCTAACCATGGACAAGTCAGTTCCCCTCTTTGTGCCTTAAGGTCCATCTACCATGGAGCTGCAGGATGTAATGTCCAGCTTGGATAGATGTACATGCACTATAGCGTAGCCATGGTGGCACAGGCTAGTTGCATGAGCCTGCCTAGTGTCTTGGACAGGACTGTCCTCTGGTGGCTAGCCCACACCACCGCCCATGCTGCCCCAGCTACAATGTTATTTTTAGCCCACTAGCTCGATCAAAGCTAGTGCCTGTATGTCTACCCAAGCGGGAAATTGCACTTTCAGCTGCAGTGTAGACATACCTTTAGTTGTTCTTATTGGTAAAATGGTGATGATGATACTGTTTTTCCTTTGTGAAGTGCTTTGAGATCCATGGATGCAAAGTGTCTCATAATGCCCCAGTCCTGCAATGAAAACTACATATGTGGACCCCTCCCCCGAAATGGAGCCCCACTAAAGTCAATGCAAAGCACCAGTTAAATCAGTGGGGCTCTTGTGGGGTCAGGGGTCTGTCTATGTGGAAGCAGTTGCAGTACTGGAGCCTAGCAGATTATTGCTGTCATTAATATTTCCATGTCCCAGCTTTGCACCATTTAGACTTAAAGGAAAAAAGCCTTTGTCTACAACTTTCAGCCTGTAAATGGAGATTGATGGTTTATAATATCACTAAATTGGTTACAATTTGTGTGGCAGATAGAAAGAAAAAATCCTAGGGGGTGATGTTACAAACAAACTAAATAAACTGCTGGGTAGGAAAGCTACCTGTGATCCCTTTTTACAAAAAAAAAAAAAAAAAAAATCGGGCGAGGAGCATTTGATGAAAAGCTAGTCATTTCCCAGCATCATTCTGCATGCTGAGCTATCCCCATTGAAGTCAATGGGAACTGTGTAAACCAGTGGCAAATTGTGGCCCATTGTGTTATGCACACCACAGTATCTGAGAAAAAGTTAAAGACCTTGACTCATGTAAACGAGGGCATTTCACTTTATCTTATTTTCTTAGCAGGTGAAGAGTCTGCGGTTTGCTCATCTGGCTTTCTCCAGGAAAAGCAACGTGAGTCAAGGTTCTTTCCTTTTTTTTGTATTCCATGCTGTACAGGAAACTAGAGATACAGAAAACCGGGCTACATTAAATGTTGACCAGTTTTAAGTCTATTTTTATGCTCTGTTGAAATGTTAGGTCTGGGAAAATCGGAGTTGTTTTTGTCTGACATTTAATTAGAATGATAAATTTTATCAATCAAGTTACTGCAGCTTTTAATTTTTTCATGTGTTAAGCAATGTTTTGTAGCCATGGTTAGATTTGTGGGGCTCTAGAGTAATTGGAAAGTTGGGGTGTTGCCATGTTTCAAGGCATGTCTTTGTTGGGACAACACAGCTTGATTCTGTTCAGAATAATCATACAGTTCGGAATGATCCCTATTAAGTATTCCAGGCTCTGCTGACTCTTATATCTTATAGAGATGCAAGACATGTTGCTGTTCTAGATGTGGGTTCCTGCTGGAGACAGGGGTGGGCCAGACAATGGTGCCAAACCTGCAATTGAGAGGCATCTTCATTTCATAGTGCCCCACCCCACCAGGGATAGGTTTAAATACCAGCCTGGTGTTTATTGCTCATCCTCTGGTGTTGCTAGCTGTGAAGAGTGAGTTATGATGGAGAGCTCTGAGTTCCTTGGAGAATTGGGATGGTCTGACCTTCTGTCAGAGCCCTGGCTGGGAAATGTTGTAGGTTTTCCCCTCTTTCTGTTCACTAGGAAATCTCTCTAACTCTGTCCACCAATGCACACTGCAGATCTGGACATATTAACTAACCCTGCCACCTTGACAGTAGTATCTCACCCAGCATAGGTGTCTGGGGCTGGTACCAGTGGAGAAGGCTGCTCACAGAAAACCAGAATCTGGGCATTGCTCCATCTGCTGTAGTCCACACTGGTAGCATATAGGGTCTGTAAGGAAGCTTCAGTGGCACTTGAGAGAATTCTTCTGATGCAGGGAGCAACATAGAGCTGTTATGGTGCAGCCCTACTCTGCCTGCCCTTGAAGTTTCCAACAAAGGATCTGGTCCATTTTGTTTCATTGTTTTCCCCTAAACATTGCAGTCTGTGAGAATCTCCAGTACATTAAAATATTCTTTACATTGGTTAATAGAAAACATATGTCATCGGCTTTATGTGAACATATTTCTCTTGACAGATTTGTTGTTATAAACAGCTAGTAACAGTGCAGCAGATGGCAAAGAACCGCATGATTTCTTATGGGAGTGTGGCAATGGAAATACAGTTTTCTTAGGGATTGAGACCATCTTACACTTTTTTTTATGTATAGTTAGTTTTCTCTGTGACAGTTTTACTCTAAATTTCTCTTGAATAAATGTATCAAGAAATTAGGGATGGTCTGGATAAAATAGGAACTGACCTAAATTTTGATCCAAACTTGAACTGAATCTGAACTTTAAGGAGCTAAGGAACAGCTAAGTTATTTTTCCCCCTTATGGGTTATTTATTTATTTTATTTTATTATGTTAAGAATTGAGCTGGTACTTTCAAAGCTGCCTGTGGGATTTGGATGCCCCGTTCCCCAAATTTCTGAAATGGCTTTGAAAATCTTGACCTTGCTGTGTAAATGCTTGTTTTATTTCCCATTCAGATCCTTCTTTTTACTACAGTGTCATCTTCCAGTCTGATGCACTTTGAGTGCAGTGATCAGTTTGGCTGTATCCCCAGCCTGACCATGAAACTCCTCAGAAACAGCTTTCTCAGAGACCTTTGTAAACCACTGGTGAATGTATTACAAATCCCTCTCTGTCCCCAAGCCACAGAGGATACGAATCTGTTACAGCGTCATCAAGAGAGCCTGATTCCTCTTAGCTCCAGCTGTAGAAGCTCCTGCTCTTATCTTTGGACGTCCCTAGTCAACCCCCAGTGTGTTGGTCAAGATGGCAGCCATCAAGCCTTGATATTGACTGTTAGGCTACAATGTATAATAGTTTCTTAACAGTTAATTTATCATGTCACATTTGATGTTCTTCTGTGAGTTGGCAACTTCATAATTTGCCAATTCCTTTTCTCAGCCATGGATAACTATTTGATACTTTTGTGTCAACCCTACTTCATTTTAATTGTTGTTGGTCTTGAATTTTGCTAACAATTGCAGAAGTATTAGCATAGTTTTTAATGAACTGGTGCGCAGTCCAGCAGTTGTCCTGCCAAATGGTGCTTATTAGTTCCTGCTGATTTTTATAATGAGACCTTATATCTTTTAAACAAGAAAATCTTTTTATCTTAAGATGGATTGAACTTCTTTTAATTTGCTGCTGTTAATACAATTATCTGACCTAGATTCAGCAAGCTATTTAAATCTCAGCCAAGGGATCTATTCTGAATTGGTGCTGTACACCTTATTCTACCTTTAGAAACTATGGAAGGCCACAATCCTGCAAAGACATGTGATTAACTTTTATGTATGTGCGTAGTCCTACTTATCATTCAAGTCATTGCAGAATTAGGGCCTGAATATGTATAACCTCTATTCCTCCATAGGATGCTGACCATGGATATAGGGTGGTAGCACTCTACTACTGCTGTTAACTAATAGAGTTACTTCTTGAGCTCAAGTGGTAAAATCTTTTCTGAATGGCTACAGTTCAAATGCTGCTAATGACCTATGCGGGAAGTCTTTCACTGTTCCGCAAATACACTGATCATTAACATCTGCTTTCAAAGCAGAAACAACTAATTTTACCAAAGTCTAGCTAAGATCCCATGATATTTGCAGCTTGAAATCAGCTTGATTTTACCAGTGCAGACTGACTCCAAAGCAGCAACCGCAATTCCTGCATCGATCTTTAAAACGTAGTTATTGCCACAAGTTCATAGAAAAGAGTAAGAATCCTCCTGTGACTTGCCTTTTTTTTATTAAACTTAATTTTCTGGATAATCTGTGACTATAATCTTCATATTTAAGATGATGGCGCTGATTCTCCACTTGGTATCAGTCAGGAAGCAAATGGATGTAAAACCAGTGTAAACGACAGGCGAATAAAAAGCCATAGTGTTGATGAGAAGGGGCAATGAACACGTTGGTCAAAAGTTGTGAATCTTAAACTTGGAATAAACAGAGTTGTTAAAAGTAAAATAAAACAACCCCCCAAAATACTGAACATGCAGGTCTTGGCAAAGTTTTTTTTTTTCTTTCACATTAAAGTTTTTTAATTGAATTGCTTTGCTGTTCCAGGATAGAGCGCACTCCACTTACTCGGGAAATCTGCTTAACTGGGAAGTCTCCCAGGGAGCTGATTTAAGCCAGTGACTGTTAATAGCAATGTCTGCTGCTTAAGCAGATGGTAATTCTGCCTAATTGGGGTTCCTTTTGGTGACTCAGTGGTTCTCAGACCTTTTGTGCATGCTGGTGTCATGCTGGTTCTGTCTGATTGCTCCTCCAACTGCAGCTTTCAGTCCTCCATTGCTGTGATAGTGTGAATAGCTTCACTGTCGCTAGTTTTTGGTTATTTTGCTTCTTCTAGTCCGTATAAATGGACTTGGTCCCTCCCAGGTGCCACTGCTGCTGGCACTGGACAGATAGCAGGCTCAGGCTCTATCCATAGATCAAATCTGATCCAGTGTCCCAATCAAATTGATGACAGTCTGTCCATTGACTTTAGTTGGCACCTTGATGCTTTCCCTGTACTCCATGGGACTGGTCTCATAACTTGATGGGCTTGTAGCATTTCCACATCTCCTTGAATAGCAGTAGTACTACCCACCTGCAGTTCCGCAAAATGGAAATGAAAAGGTATGGGCACTAGGGCATCTGAAATAAGAGGATGCTGCAGCACTGTGGGTGATACACAGTGGTCATAATTACTCCTGAATCTCTGATGAGTAAGTCCAGTGCCACTCACCATATGCCTTATAACATAAGATTGTTAACCATCTACTTTGTTTCTCTGTTGATAGCAATCTTGCCTCTGATCCAGAAGGTCCAAGACCCTAAATCCAGATCTAACAATGGCCCTGTACATTAGTCTGTGTGTGCTGGAGTTTCAGCAGAGTGTACTGGAAAGTGCCATCCTTTTTGATGAGATGCAGCACCAAGGGCCCTTCTCCTCATCTGTTTTGTCTATCCAAATTTTAAAATCCATGGCACACTTTAAGGGGAATAATGGGAATAATCCTGTGTCCCAGTCACTACTTCAGCTTTGCAACAGCCCTTTGAATTAGATAAGTATAATTGTCCTCCTTTTTCTGATTGGGAAGCAGAGGCCAGAAAGCTACAACGCTTGGATTACAGATCCAGAATAGAGCTGGTTTGAAAAAAATCTAATTTCAAAATTTTTCCGCTCGGCAAAAAGGAAAAAAAAATGTTTCATGAATGTTTTCATGAAAAAAAAATTCCATTTCTCAAACAGCCCTACTCCAGAGGTCTTGGCTGTACAGTCCTGTGCTCACACTGCAGAGCTAAACTGTTCAATGCTATATATCAGGCTGTTGTTGCTCAGTGCATCAAGGGTGGTTCTGTTTCTCTATAGTCCCGACACTCAATGTAATTACCTGAATTCATCACCAAGGTCTTCAGTGAAGCTGCACCAGTGGATCTGAGAGCAGAATTTGTCCTCATTGTCCCCAACACGAAAAGGAGGACTTGTGGCACCTTAGAGACTAACCAATTTATTTGAGCATAAGCTTTCGTGAGCTACAACCGATGAAGTGAGCTGTAGCTCACGAAAGCTTATGCTGAAATAAATTGGTTAGTCTCTAAGGTGCCACAAGTACTCCTTTTCTTTTTGCGAATACAGACTAACACGGCTGCTACTCTGAAACCTGTCCCCAACACGTATCTTTCAATAGTTCTGTTGGTAGTGAAGCAGAGATCAGGAGCTAAGCTTTGCACATTTGTGGCTGGGAGAATAAACAAGAATATATGGCCGCTGAAAGTGGCACATTAGCTGTGTTTCTAACCAGTTTTACTAGCCAGGCACAAGTTAAACATGCAAACTGGTGACGCTTTATAAAGCTAAATGGTAATGATCTTGGCATGCATAGTCATTATTGTA